GTTATTTCTTTATCACAGATCAAGTTGAGAAAGGAAATGTTAAGATCGAATACTGTCCAACTGACAATATGATTGCGGATTTTATGACTAAGCCATTGCAAGGTGAGAAGTTTAACAAGTTCAGGGATCTGATTCTTGGTCCACAGGACTAGGTCAGACAAGTATGTATATGTTCAAAATACAAACAAAACAAAATAAACAGTGAATGAGAGCATGTCCCATTGCTGCCAATGATGATTGTCACAATGGCAGGAGTGTGTTGGGATATGACGAAATATGGGTTTTTACGTTCCAAAAGAAACTTTTTAAGTACGAAGTTTTGACACGTACGATCGGACTTTGATTGTGATATCGGGATTCGATGCAAGTCTGCCGAACAATCTATATCCACACGAAAAGGGAAAGACCCTATACAAGTGGAATATCGATGCTGTGTATGATGCAGTAGGGAATAATACAAGATGTCCCAAAGTACTGTATTTGACAGAGAACCCTCGTAGAAGCCGGATCGAGTTCTGTAAACAAGGGATTTTCCAAGGGAAAATTGTTGAACTCACTTTTGTGATTGAATCATCAATTCAAGCCAAACATGAATCAAATAGGAACAATTTCACTCAAAGTGTACCTAACACAGGAGAACTATTGTTGTGAAAGTGTTGTACAGTCGATTACGAATTTAGATTGCAGAGAGTTTGTTCTTAGCGCTAAAGGCACTCACGATAGAGCACATTTTGCTTTATTCTAACATTTGACTTAACAGTTCGCTTGTTTGTTTTGAAGTACGCTGCTCTGTTCATATGATTGGTTAGTTTTGCAGAATAGAGAATCTTGTTTTGAGTCATCTCTGTTTCTCTTGCAACAACTTCCGTTTGAACTGGAGCATCCAACTTTGGGGCGATTGAATCAAAGTTGATTGAATTTCCATCTCGAATCGTTTTCATCATGTCTTCTCAACACTTCATTCCAGAAGCTTGAACATAGTCAATCAGTCTTTTGTTGGCATCTTCATACGACAATCTTGTTTTTCCATCATTTTCATCTTTAGTTGAAAACAGGTGTTTCACCACCTTTGAACTTGAATTGTCCTTGACTTTCTGAGGAGTCACACGTCCTCTTCCACCACGACCGGATGAAGAACGTCCCATAGTCAAGGAATCACTCACTCCTTTGTAGATAGGGCAGTATTGTTCTTGACGTATTTTCTTTTTGTTGCCTTCTGTGATTGACTGTTAGAAATAAGCATAATGTGCTCTATTGTGAGTGCCTTTAGCGCTCAGAACAAACTCTCTGCAATCTAAATTCGTAATCAACTTTACAACACTTCCACAATAATAGTTCTCCTGTGTTAGGTATACTTTGAGTGAAATTGTTCCTATTTAATTTTAATGTTTGGCTTGAATTGATGATTCAATCACAAAAGTGAGTTCAACGATTTTCCTTTTGGGAATTCCCTTGTTTACAGAACTCGATCCGGCTTATACGAGGATGCTCTGTCAAATACAGTACTTTGGGACATCTTGCATTATTCCCTACTGCATTGTACACAACATCGATATTCCACTTGTATAGGGTCATTCCCTTTCCATGTGGAAATAGATTGTCCGGCAGACTTGCGTCAAATCCTGACATCACTATCAAAATCCGATCGTGCGTGTCAAAACTTTGTACTTGAATAGCTTTTTAAGGAACGTAAAAACTCATATTTTGTCATATCCCAACATCTGTCATAGTGGTAAAGGACTACTGGTAATGAGTAGATGAAAGAGAAAAAAAGATATAATCATTCTGAACTGCTTCAGATGAGCATGGTTCCTTAGCTCTTCATCGTCTCATCTTGCACTTGGCAAAAAGAATGCTTCTGTTTCACGCCTTCGTTTGCCATGCTGATCGTCCCCAAATTTCGTCCTATAATTACCGGTAATTCGCTTAAAAGCGACTGACGACATGACTTGTGTCATGAAGACAGATGTCTTCTCTTGCCAGTCCGTCTACCGTCTTGCCTGATCGAAATTTGTCCGTTAAACTCATCGATCTGCTATCCATGGTTCTGTTAACGGGGTCGACTGACTGGCTGTACTAACTGTCTTCCTCTTTTTCTGGAGTCGACGGACGAACGAATGAATGAATCATACTGTACTTTAACACTTCTTTAGTCCTGCATCCTCACCTTCCATATTTTGGACCACTCAATAATAATTGCAACAACAACACATCACTTAAATTTTCTTTGAACAATGAGGAAGCTAGTACTAGGCAAGGTATCTCTTACCGGAATATTATTTTTCTTGATTAGTAGTACTCAATTATCACATTCATACAGTACCCGGAGCTGGAGCAGACGCCAAGATGTCGGGGGTTTTGGGCGATTCAAGAAGCCGCTCTCAAACTGCAAGCACACGGTTGTCTCCCTTGCCCATTCGTGCGGTCAGAGTCAGGATTACGATCCTCTAGAGACCGCAAACCAAATTTCTCCGGACACTATGTCGCTGCCTCGGTCTGTAGGCTTCTTTGCAAACTACATTGTGAAGTATTTTTCTAAGCGAAAAATGAGGAGAAAAGATGGAATGGCAAAAGGAAAAAAGAGAGCAATGTGGAGAAAGCTGAACGAACAGAGACGGAATGTAATGACGCTAGCTGGCTACACGTCAAGTATTGTCTTCCCTTCGTTTCTTTTCTTGCTTTTGGGAGCTTTGATGACGTCTATCGTACCATCCTATTACAGCAAATGTATACAATGTGTCTCAACACTCACCACATCAAGATCCCAATTGCTGGAGGCAATGTTCGGATTGGGGATAACGAGCACACTGGCTGCACTTTTTACCGGTTTGAGAGGTAGTCTCTTTTGGATTGGAGGCAGCCGTGCGAACTACAATGTTCGGGTAAAACTACATCGAAGCTTGTTGCTTCAAGAAGCTGCGTTTTTTGACATGAATGAAACGGGATACCTTCTTAGTCGTCTGAATTCTGACGTCAACAAGATTGGCCAAGTCATCTCATATCATGTGAATGTTGTTTTTCGGCAGCTTGCACAGTTTATGTTCGGATCCATATATCTCTTCAAAATATCCCCGAAGCTTTCCATGTGGACCTTCTGTGGTATTTCGCTGGTGGCTTGGCTCTCAGCCATTTACGGTGACTTATCAAGGCTGCTTGCCGAGAAAGTGCAAGACACATTTGCCGATGCCACTGCCGTTGCAGAGACGTCTTTTTCGATGAGTGAGACAATCCGCGCTTTTGATGGAGCGACACTGGAGTCGGCAAAATTCGAGGGAGCACAGAACAAAGCGCTTCAAATGGAAGAGCTCCAAGCTTGGGCTTACGGATCGCACAAATTCTTGAGCGATACACTGCAAACAATTTTGCAAGTTGCCTTGCTTTTTGCATGTTGGAACGTTGGTCGAGCCGGAGGCCTTCCAGCTGGTAAACTTACCACATTCATGTTCTACACCAATTTTGTTTTAGAATCGTCAAACGAAGTTGGTGATCAATGGGCGAAAATCCAACAAGCTGTTGGTGCATCTAGTAGTGTTTTCGATCTGATCAAAAGATTTCCAGCGATTCGAGACCCGAAAGCGAATGAGGGAGACAGTGCCCAACGCAAATTGGGGAATGGCATCATCAACGACTCTCCTATTCTGTCATTTTCAAAAGTGAGGGTCGATTACGAGGCAATGGAAAGACCAGCGTTGGACAACATAAATGTCGACATATTCTCGGGAGACCGAGTGGCGCTAGTTGGGAGGAGCGGCAGTGGAAAGTCTTCAATGCTTCGTTGCATGATGCGCTTCTACGATCCGTCGCATGGTGCTATCAAGCTCTGCGGGCAAGATCTACGACGAATAACACGGGCCGAGACCGCAAAGCAAATTGCTGTGGTAGCACAAGAACCGCATATGTTCCCGACTACTCTGGCAGAGAATATTCTCTATGGAGTTGAGAAAGATACAAGAAATGCCGCAAGCGGGACCCCCGAATACAGTCGAAAACTGCTGGATGCTGTTGCTGATTGCTTATCATTGTCAGGACTATCAGTTGAACCTGGCAATGAGCTAGGCCTGACTCTAGAAACACGGATAGGTGAAGGGGGAAGATCACTTTCTGGTGGCCAGTGTCAACGAGCTGCAATAGCAAGAGCATTAATCCGATCTCCAGATGTTCTTCTGTTAGATGAACCAACGTAAGCGATACATCAATATGATTGGAGTAGACCGCCATGTGCTAACTGTTTCTTTTTGTTGCAGAGCTGCTTTGGACTCCGAAAGCGAGAAGCTAGTTGTTGCATCACTGCAGAAAGCCATGCAACGAATAAAGTGCATGGTGATGGTTACGCACCGTCTTGGAATCATTCGATCATTAGATATAAACCGTGTCCTTGTCCTTGATAAAGGAAAGATTGTTGAAGATGGGCACCCCGAAGATCTTCTGATACACGAGAATGGTTTGTACGCAGCGCTGGCAAGGGAACAAGGCATCACCTCCAGGTCCAACGAAACCTTAGCTCGTCTATAGATAGATTCCTTTTCGATGATTCCTTTTTCTTCTGACCGTATCTAATCGAAGTCGCCTGAGCTGTGCATAGTAGCAGCAATGGGATGCATTAATAGACTCCTCTTCCTTTGTGGGTACAGTAAAGAATTTTTACCTGGCGCATTACTACTACGCACGAGCGGTTCTAACAATAATTTACTTAGGCTTGACTATGCTGTCCTACGTGGAATCTTCGCGGAATACTTTTAAAAACGTTAATTGGACCAGAGAGTGTCCGTCATTCGTACGTTAGATAGCTTAACCTAGAGATTCGCACACATCTTGTAAAATCCCCATGTTTGTCATCGTACTCGTTTTCGTCCCAAATCTCTCGTACCAATCCACAATGGATAGAGGAGCCTGGGAAGGTTTTCGAATAATATCTGTTTGAGGAAATCGCCTCATTCAGCCATGGTTAGGATCACCATCGTCGTATCGATCTCGTGATTTTTTCATGCCACAAT